CTGCAAATACACTGATAAAATTGCTTCATTTCATAGTCAATTAAAATATTTTCCCCTTGATTTCTATTTTATCAGTTTATAGATTAACATTTGTTTAAACAATTGATAATTGTTATGATTAATTAATTCACATTTATTACAGGGAGCTCAAGAAACGCAGCGAAAATGACAGTAGCACCAATGACGATGACGAGGACGACGATGAAAGTTCCGAGGCGGAGAAAAAGAAGCGAGACTTCGATAATGAGAAACTGGACAGCATGGACAAGAAGCTGCAGTCCATCGAGGACTTCATCATCGACGAGACCATCAAGTATACGGGTGCCCACGAGGGTCTGAACAGCAAGGATGATATTCGCCGTATCAAGGACCATGTCCTCTCCCGTTTGGCGACCGCTTACAGCCTGGAGAAGATGCGTAGGGCTTTGGACAAGCTGAGGAGATCGGTGGACAACGAAAATCATCTCATGCGCAATACCATCGAACCGGAATCGGAGGAGAACGCATTGGACTCCAACTACTGGCTGACCAAGAAGTCCGTGAAGAAGGAGCAGGCCGAGCAACAGGCAGAGTATGTAGTGGAATATATCTTAACTATATTAAAAAATGATAATATATATTAAATGGTTTCCAATCCTCCAGGGATTCAAAGCGCCCCAAGGACATGGAGAAGAAGAAGCGCAGTGGCTACCTGCGCTATCCGGAGCAGCCGAACACCATGGACGAGGCTCTCAGCCTGGGCAGTGCTCCCTACGAGACCCTCAACGATGCCTATCTGGGCAACAAGAACTACATCGTGGGATCCAACCAGTGCCCCATCATTGAGTCCATGGCGGAGCGCTGTCGGGGCGTGGATCTCATCTCCGGGGACATCAACCAGGAGCTACTGCCACTCTGCGGGGTTCACCAAATTTGCTACCTATGTGTAAGTGCTCTTTGCCAAAAACAAACATTTATTCTTGAGTTAGAAGATTTTAGATAATTTTTAAGCTGATGCTACAAGTATTACATAATAATAGGGGAGTACCTATACGCGAATTCATAGGAGAAATAAGATTAAGAGTTGTATACTGAATTCTTCAGAAATATAGAATCCTAACTTTGGAATCTACGAATTCTTCAGCTCAAATCAAATTAGATTACCAATTATCTTTTACCCTACATTGTTCTTAAGTTGGACGATTTTAGATAATATTTAAATTGTAATAGATATTATAATAGTAGGGGAGTACCTACATATATCAAAACGCGAATTCCTCAGAGAATTAAGAGTACTACATAATAATAGGGGAATACCTATATCCAAATATATAAGATTAAAAGTGATCCTATTAAATCTTTGGATTTATAAAATCCTAATTTTGTAAAACGCGAATTCTTCAGCTCAAATATACTGATCTAAACCCTTCCAATAAGAAATCATTCTTAATAACTTTAAATATACCTTATAAATTAAAAAGATTTGCTTAAGGTAGTATGATACTTAATTCAGCTGGTTGTAGTTTAGTTGTTATAATATTTTGTAACCCCAAAAATTCTATAAATAAGAACTACTAAAAAAAATCTTTTTACAGGGCGCCTCGCAGGTGGCCTGCGACTATCAGTATTTGGCGGAGGCGGATGGCATTTGCGGCGACAGCAACGAGTGCCAGTCGGCGGCCCGCTCCATCCTGATGATCCTGCGGGGATCCCCCGGCCGGCAGCTGGGTCCTCGGGAGTGCTTGAAGAACCCCTGTTTGTACAGGGCCATGCGGGAGATCGGACTCTAAGCGGTCTACTCAAGATTGCCGCCCAGCGTTTTCCTAACGTCTTTTTGTGTGCGTTTAAAAAGAAAAACAAAAATCGAAAAAATTTAAATGAAAATGAAAAAACCGTAATGCAACCCAGAGAGAGAAGATAAAAATATGAGCCCAAAAAAAAAATATTAAAAAAAACAATACAAACCATGCTGAACTAGCAAAAATCAAACAATTGATTCAAAACTAAATAGTCGTCACATATAAAGACATAATATTTTGATGGATTTTCCTGTCCGCCCTTCGAGGCGGCAGCAGCCAACTAGAGTTTACCAGATACCTAAAGAGATACATAGATATATATATACACAGTTCTGATTCAGTTCATCGCAGTAGACGCCCGATTGAGGCCCGATTGATATCGTTTTAAATGTTCAGTGTGAAATGGACTTTTTCGAAACATATTTTATGGGTGTTTAAGTGTACAAACGTGATCGTAACCGAAACATACATATACATATGCATAACCAAGATATACAAGTAATTAATCCACAAGCAGCTTTTTAAGTAACTTAATTCGCTTGACATTCTTTGGAAAGCAGAGCTCACATTGGCAGCTAGTCCTTCAGAGTCAGAGATAGAATTAGAATGCTTCAATTCGGTTCGACTTGGATGTGCGTACACACCACATCTCCAAACACACAATATATAACGATTTTAGCCTACTCGTTGGAGTAACTTACTATCAGAGACTTCTCTCTCGCCCCGCATTACTTGTCTACTCTTCAGATGAACATATACATAAATGTGTTTCAACGTGCTTACAATAAATGGACATAACTAAGACAAATATTTAAAGCTCTAACAAATCTATAGATGTGATTATTAATATACAAGGAGTTTAATAAATGTGTAAATCTTTTAGGGCAAAGCATATACTTATACCAATCTGAACAACAGCAAGACGTTTGGTTGCGAAATCAAAATATTATTAATGTATTTACATAAACGAATATATATATTTGAACTTGATGTATATGCTACAGTTTGAAAAACAAAACACACAAAAAAAAGCCGTATTTGAAAATATTTATTGCTATACAGTTATCATAAATGTCGAATATAAATATATCGGGGATAACCCAAAGATCGATGGTTTTTATTTGGGATGTTTTGGGTTAGTTTCAAGATAGCTGGGTATTCTTTGTCAGAATTTTGTTTTCGTTTGGCTTGCATCTCACAAAATCATGAGCATTAAGGTTTCCCTGGTCGTTCCCACATAATGGATCCTTCTGAGCGGCTTGTGGTTCCTGTTGAGAAGAAATATTATAACATCCGGGATCCAAAACGCATTTCCTGTCCTATTTACCGCCGACCTAAACTATTAAACAGATCTGTGGCCTCTTCTTTTACTGCAAAGTATCCGGAAAAAGTGAAGAAAGCTATGAGAGACTAGCGGAAACCATATTTGTACTCACCTTTCATAACATTCCATTAAAGAAATTCTAAATCTTAAGAATTTGTTGTTTCTTATAATTGGCGGTAAACATTTGAATTTGAATGGCAGTACTGTCAATATGGTTCGAGTCTCCGCTAAGCGTACAATGCTGCCCATCAACACAGTTAGAAAATACACACTCCAATATCGACATAAGTATCGATGTTCAGACATCGATATATTAATATTTTGTAAATGTTGCACATCTCTATCTAACAACCACTCTGAAAACAACAACTTTGCGCGTAATAAATATTTTTATAAATAAATTAAACGCAATTAAGCAACAAAAAAACCAGTGAGCTAAAACTGGTGATTAAAAACAGTTTAAACAAAAGCGAGCAAACACAGATTATTCTTATCACATTTCGCGACCTCAAAAGTTCCCACCCTCTGGTGAGTAAGAAGAAGAGCGAGTTATTCGCATGACTCATCGCGAAACGAGTTTTTATCACAATTGTTTTTTCTGCTTTCATACGAATCCGCTTGACGTCACCGCATTGCAGGGCAGGCAAAGATGAAAACCCCCGTTTCCGCAGCAGCGAATTTAAGTAACTCGAACGCAGGCAGTTCCGGAGCAACAGCCGTGCAGATCGTACCGAAAACAGAGCCCGTCGGAGAAGAAGGTGCCCCCATGTCGCTGGACTTCCAGACGCCCAACCTCAGCTCATCCACCCCGAATCCCAACAAGCGCCCCGGTTCGCTGGACCTGAATGGCAAGGGTGCCAAAAACAAGCGCATCTTCACACCGCTGGTCATCAACTCACCCGATCTGCAGGCCAAAACCCTGAACACACCCGATCTGGAGAAGATTCTGTTGTCGAACAATCTCATCCAGACACCGCAACCGGGCAAGGTGTTCCCCACCAAGGCAGGCCCCGTCACCGTGGAGCAGGAGGCCTTCGGCAAGGGTTTCGAGGAGGCCCTGCAGAATCTGCACACCAACTCCCAGGCTTTTCCGGCCGTCAACCCCGCGCCGAATACCACAACAACTGCGACAGCCATGACGGCTGTGAACAATGGCATCAGCGGGGGAACCTTCACCTATGCCAACCTCTCCGAGGGCTTCTCGGTGATCAAGGACGAACCTATCAATCCAGCCGGTTCGCCCACCGTCAGTCCCATCGACATGGAAACGCAGGAGAAGATCAAGCTGGAGCGCAAGAGGCAGCGCAACCGTGTGGCCGCCTCCAAGTGCCGCAAGCGCAAGCTGGAGCGCATCTCTAAGCTGGAAGACCGTGTCAAGATCCTCAAGGGCGAGAACGTAGATCTGGGCAGCATCGTGAAGAACCTCAAGGACCATGTGGCACAGCTGAAGCAACAGGTGATGGATCACATTGCCGCCGGTTGCACAGTGCCGCCCAACTCCACGGACCAATAACATTTGGAGTTGTCCGCCGGGGAGGAGGAGGATGATGGGGAACAAGTGGCACTTGAGACCAAAGCCCCATCGAATCAAGAAGTTTCCGAGCAGCCTATGCCTCTGGAGCTCTTCCTAAGTGCCACCACAAATGCCTTGGAGCTGGAGTCCGCTGCCTCTCAGGACATCTCCCTCAGCAACAGCGATCTTTTGGAGGAGGATAGCGAAAACGAACGGCCTTTGGTGCTCTACATCCTCTCGGACGATGGAACCTGAAGTTTGGTGCCTTTCTTGGTCTTAGCTGCAATATCTGAAATGCTTCTTAAGTGTTTTGTTTACTTAGTTATTAGTATAAGCTATCATTAATCAAGTATTATCTGTGTTGAACGTAAGATAATATGTAAAGTACTTTAAAAATCTACGTATATATATTTTCTGTACTTGATATATACATAAAAAAAATTAATTCTACGCCTAAAACTAATTTATTCATCATCCTCCTCATCATCATCGTCGTCTTCGTCTTCCTTGTCATCCATAGCCTCAGCCTCTTCCTCCATGGCGCTATCTGCTTGCTCTTCATCGTTTACATCATCCTCGACGTGCAACTGGAATCCATCGCTTTTGGTCCACGAGCACTTCATGGTCAGGCGAAATTTGGCCATGGGCTTGCCCACCAGCTTGAGGATTCTCGCCTGTTCGGGCGTCAGTACTTTGCCCTCCTCGCAGACCGTGTAGTCGCTGTACAGTGTGACAATACCCTTCTCCAGTTTGGTGGGAAGACCCAGCGATCGCAGATGCGGCTCCATGGAGTGGGCAAAGTCCTCTAGGGGACCAGCTGGCAGGATGACAGTATCCGTGGCCACAAAGCCACTGCGGGCATACTCCACGGCCCAGTAGTTTTCGGCCCAATCGAGCACTTCCTGCTTGGATTTGTCCGTGAAGAGCAGACCCACCTGGCCGGTCAAGCGCTTGGAGAGCTAGTAAAGATAAATATAATTAAAAACAGATTTGATTTATATATATTAACTAGCAATTACCTTGTGCAAATCAGACTCCACTTCCTCGCTTTTAGTGCGACCCAAACCAATCTGCATCACGCGGTTCTTGCCGAAGATAAAACGTGAATTCTTTTTCCACTCCTGTCGCAGATCCTTGAGCAAGCTGTTCCTCATATTCTGTACTTGGAAAACGAATATATTGGGGTATTTGCCCACACAAAAGCGAATGTCGTCCACAATTCGCTGTTTCCATGCCAGACCCTTGCGGTCGGTTTTGGTCAGGGAAACTAGGGGAATGAAAATAGCACGTATGAGAAATGAAAATCTTATAGAAGAATATCCAAACTCTCACCTTTCTTATCACGTTTGGAGCGCGGCATTTCTGTTTCTGTTAAAAATCAAACTTTTTCGAAGCTAAAACCAAGAAATAATTCCCACCGAACGTAAACACGTGCGGCTTGCTGGAGATGGTAGAAGTGTGTGCAATCAACTATCGATAGTGGTTTTGTGTATCGGAATTCCGAACCGCGCGGGTTGGGTTGGAAAATTCTCGCAAGCCCATCCCTACTCAGAGTTTCGACGTTTTCCAACACAGCTGCGCGTTAAGAAGAAGAAGAACCTTCAGGTCCGAGCCGTAAGAGGTGAATTAACTAATTAATAAGTGATTGCCCGTTAAAAACTAAGTTAAACTTCGAGTGCTGTGAGCCCAGGGAACACGCAGATAGTCGAAAAACGCTTGAAAACCCAGGCGCAGTGAGTAAATTCAGCTAGTGCGTCGTGTGTCGGCTTGCGACCGCCATATTGTCGGCGGATAGAAATTTTCCCCGAATAACTGCGCCGCCCACGCACTTTATCGATTCGATGGCCTCCTAATTGGATGCCAGCTGCCCGCGGGGCCTTCAATATTGCGTTGCGTGATGTATTCGCATTGCGAAAATCCCATTACGAGTGGAAATGGACGTAGCAGTTTTTCATTACCGCAAGCAAATAGGACGCCGATGACGTAATTTTCTCCGTCTTGTTCTTTGTGAGCTGTAGTAAAAAGTAGAGATGGGCGCGTGAGCAAAGTTTGTGTCGCGTCAGCCACGAGTTGGGGAATCACAAATAATTTTTATTTATATGAAAATATTTTGTATATTTTTATGTCTATAAGATCTTTTGTCCTTAATAATCGCATTGTCATACATTTATGGCATTTCCTAGAACTTATAAAAAGTCCTTAAAAGTTGTCCCATCTTTAGTTTTTAATTTAAGAAAAAGCTGTCTAATATTCCAAATTCCTTAAATCTTATTCCTGACTTAAGTTAAAAACAAAGTCTTATTATAGGTAGCATGACAAGTACAAATTAAGAATATAAAAACTAATAATTTCGTCAGGTCAAGCTAAAACTTAAGTTCGAAATGCCCATCTTAGCTTCACGCCCATAATTGACGGCCCTTGCTCACGTCTCGTAAAAAGCATAAGTGCCGCTGATATCGCGTTTCTATGTGTGAGTGCACGAATTCAATGAAATCCAAATTAGAATTAAGGCAATTTACCGCACCCCCTTATCAGTGGCATACATCTCGCGATTAGTTTCCTCCTTGCGGAGGCCATAAAGTCAAGATAAAAGCGTAATCTGGCAGCGAGATAAGCGCAAGAAAGTTTCAACAGGTTGGAAACGAACTGTAAACTATTACTCCATGAGCTGATAAATGCGCAGACTTGACAATAAAAGCTGGCTCTTTTTTTTTGTAAGCTTTTTATCTACAAGTTCGTACAAGGCTGTTAATTAGTATATATAAAAATTGTATCTTAAAGTTTGGTTTTCTAAGTATCACCTGCACACCTGGCAACATTACTTCCACGGGCAGGTTGGCAACCCTGAAGCTCGCTCCCTCTCTTTGGCGGCGCATGTGCCGCTGTGTGAGTGTGGGCAGAGAGGCAGAGAAAGAGAGCCGAAACACAGATACAGCGGCGCGGCGAATGTGTGCAACCTTTGCCGTCCGTCATTCTCATTCGTTCGTTGGTAGGTGTTCGTTGTCGTTTCAGTTTCAGTTAATCGAGAATGTAAGTAACATTTTTGCTGGCCCAGAGTGCCTTGTATCTATGTGTGTGCGCCTGCCAGTGTGCGGATTGGAATTATAAAACGAAAAAATTGCTAAAATATCCGAAGGAGAAACACACGTGTAAAACCGCCTATGAGTAATCACTTACATGCATCTATACTTCGGCCCGCAGAAAAATCGAATTACCTCCATCAGGCATCGATCCAAAGTTGAAAAAAAAAATTCTACGCAAAAAGTAAAAAGTGTGAATTTGTGCAAAAAGAAAAAAAAATTGAAGGAAAGAAAGAAAAGAACATTCCCGAATTGCTCGAGTATTGGTGCATGTATGTGATGCGGTGAGATTCGCTTGTAGCTTCGGATTTCTCATCATCATCATCATCATCATCAGCGGTTCATCGGTTAAGTTGTAGGCGGCGGACATAGCCGACTTCTATATATACGCATATATAGCCAGCTATATGTACACACAGTACGGCAAGAAAGATAGATATATATATGTATATATCTCAACTTGGATGGGGACACGCGGTTAGGTGGGTTTGCTGGCCAAACTCAACACACTTGGCGGCCGCCTGTGGTAGATACATTTTGGCCGCTCTCTCTCGCTGCGGCGTTCTCCGCTCTCTTTCTCTCTCTTCGCCCAACCCCCACACCCCCTTTCTCACGATTATTTTTATAATTCTGTAGCGCCGCACTTGGAAACACGATTGGCGGCCCCACCAACACCATCTCAGCAAACCAAATCCCCACCACACCACCCAGAACGCACCAACACACACGAACGTAAAGAAACGCACGCACACAGCCCCCAGAAAAGTTAGTAACTTTTTCGCCCCATGTAGAGCCGTACTCGTACTCGTATAGCGGTATCTACAGTGTAGAGGAATTTCTACATCATCGGGGAGGAATGAGGACTGGGTTCTGGGTTCGGGGGTTCTTAAGCTACTGCGCATGCTGTGTCGGCCGGCGCAGATAAAGTTTAAAGTACCCAAAGTACCGACATGGATTTTGCAGAGTTCTCTAGCCCCGGAATTGTCCTAACCATATGGGTTTACCCTTTCAAAGGGTGTATCTAAATAACACCAAAATCACCTCATCCCACCTGTAATTCTCCCCCCTGTTTACCAATTTATTCAGCAGATGAGCAATATGCGTGGTTAAAACAAGTTTTTATTTTTCTGGCCTTTTTGATTTAGCCGCTGAAAACTACAAACATATTTGTGCCCATTTAGGGGAGTGTTACGTTAATTTACGTTACGCCTGGCTTAATGTTTTGGCATTTGCCGAACAGCCAGTGAAACATGTCAATTGACCTAAAAACGCGTTGGCAGACCGCACCCACCCTTTACCCTCCTCTCCCCACGCCACGCCCCGCCGCCTATTGTTTTGACAAAGGGTCAATGCTTTTTCAATTTGGAGGTCGATCGCAAAACAAACAACTTGCCTTTCACATGTTGAAAACATCTATCAGATGATTTCTATGTAACTGCGCAGCATTCACTATTTAACTAAAGTATCTACAAGTTTTAACAGGTTTCAACTTCAATAACTTTTAACACACTTTTAGAACTTAAGTATAAATATTTGTTTATTTATTTCAAACTTATTTTGTTCATCGTACTGAGCACATAGGTTTATTTATATATATTTGAATCTCTATCTCTTGGATCTTTTTATGGGCCACATGTTGTGGTCGCAGCTAGCCAAGCTGGCCTGTAAATCCAATTGAACGCTGTATTTGCGGAATGGTCGGTGGTGGTGCTTCTATGACGCCTATGTGCCGAGATTTTTCCATTTCAATCATCGGCTGGCTGCATTAGCTGGCATTCTTGTGCTTGGTTTTCGAGGTTTCCGCCGGGGCGGGCAAACAAAATGTTTTTTGTCCAGAGCGCAAGCTGTCTAAAAATACCAGCAACGCCCATGTGCATTTCCACACACCGATTTTCACCCCTCTTTGGGATGAGTTCTGGCTACCAAGCTTTCTCCCGTTCGGGCGGAAATGAATCGATTTTCGTTCCCTCACGTCCCTTTCAAAAAAAAATCCAAGCCGGAAATTGATCCTACATTGAAAGTTTGGATAGATCCTATCGCAGAAATTTCTAATTGCATTACGTGTGAGTGGATTAATGACTGTTGCATATTTTTTAATTCTTTTCTTTTCGCTTTTTGTGTTCTAATAATTACAACACGTTTAATCGATAGAAGTTCACTGAGTGGGCAACTAATTGAGTGCGTCACTGTGCGAGGAATACAAACAGACAGTCTTTATGCACGTACATAAATATCTATCTTTGGCACACACACAAAAATATATGAAAACGCATTAAGGCGAGCCGACTTTTGCTCCATTTCTCCCTCTCTCTTTTTTTTATTCATGGTTTATTTTTATCGCTGTTGTCGAACTTGTGTTTTTTTCACATCTATCTGCCAGATACTCTCTGTATCTCTATCTCTCCACCTTCGGCCTTCCATAACCCATAAACTGGGCTCTAAATAGTTGCGCACAGTTGTCACACGTGCGGCCATGTCCAGTTGTGCTGGCTTTTTCCTTTTTAAATTAGCCATTCCGTCAGCGATTAGTCAATAAAGACCTGCTGCGAGTCCATGAGTCATCGCAGCTTTAAATTCAACACTTTCGTCAAGCGGAAGCATGACAACAAACTAAATTCGTACGACATACCCTGGAATACTTGGTGCAAGTGCATTTGGGGTATATGGGACAAGAGGGTATCTGGAATAATTACATAGCCAAATTACCATTACAAATTCCCTTATATCGATTTGACAAGTATAAGGAATAACGATCCAGTACCTTTGAAAACGGCATACTACTAAGTGTTTGTGAATTGATTATATTATTATTATACATGATTTTATTACAAAATATTGCGATTTTAATATAGAATAGAGTAGGATATCACAAAAACATTTAAAAAGATACATTTTTTATAAGGTTCATTTATCCCCTTCAAAGTCCCAGTATACCCCTTAAATGGGTACCTCACTTTACAGAAATTATTGACCAATAAAAAATTCGCAGTGTTGTGTAACTACTGCTGGCTGTGGAATTCAAGCTAAATAACAGCCAGGTAGTCCGCAACAGAAGTCTGTTAGTCAGTCAGGTGTTTTTGTAAAAGGCCAACTGCCAAGAGCCGTTGGCCGAGATAACGCTTATAGGTGGCCTCACCTACATTTCTCCTCCACTTAAAAAAAACCCACTACTAATGCTCTTGTTTACGATTTTATTCATTGCAGCAAGCCATCGTTAGCAACTTTTGAACGGCATATCGAACTGTGTGGCGTATTTTATTAGTTTTGTGAAGTAACCGATAAAAAAAATCAAACAAAATGTCGACAGTCGATAAGGAAGAGCTGGTCCAGAAGGCTAAACTGGCCGAGCAATCAGAACGGTAAGTTTGGAGTCCTCTGAATATGATCCTAACATGTCGGAGAACTGCTGAATCATTTTAGTAAGACGCAAGAAAAAATATTATCTTATTCTAAATACTTTAAGCTTTTCTGTTCTGAACTAAATTATCAATATATATTTTAGACATAGAACAATCTTTGTTGCACTATCACAGAGTTTTTAATTGTAAATTGGTTTGAATATCACGTCGTGATATCATAATTGTTTTATAGCTCCTTAATCACATCGTAGTAAGACTGAAGTTCTAGGGCCTTGTTTATGAAAAGCTATTTCTGTGCTATGCCAGATTAAATGTATTTTTAATTACTAATTGAGTGTTCTTTTTACAGCTACGATGACATGGCCCAGGCCATGAAATCCGTCACAGAGACTGGCGTTGAGCTCTCAAATGAGGAAAGAAATCTGCTCTCCGTTGCCTACAAAAATGTGGTCGGTGCCCGCAGGTGAGTCGATCAATCAATCACCGCTTGATTGATGTCGCAGCGTAGATTGGAGTTCGAGTGCTAAACTGTATGTTTCTTCTCCCCCCCATGCCACCAACTCCGGGTGTGTGTTTAACATGCCCAAACCAGGTCATCGTGGCGTGTCATCTCCTCCATCGAGCAGAAAACCGAGGCATCCGCTAGAAAACAGCAGCTCGCCCGTGAGTACAGAGAGCGTGTGGAGAAGGAGCTGAGGGAAATCTGCTACGAAGTTTTGGTAAGTGATGGTCCACAATTCTGCGCAAGTCTCTTTCTGACGGATTTATGGGGTTGTAATTGGTCCATCTAATTATTTTTATACCCACAACTCACTTGGGTGTTCATCTCAATTTGCGGTGATGGAGCTGGCAAACCTGTCAGCCTCCTAAATATATATATTATATGTATATATATGAAGACCCCCGCCCTTGGCAAGCTCAGCTGTCGGTCGGTCGGGTGTCTTTTCCAGAGGGTGTGCCCTGTTCTCTGCTCTTCTTCCTTGCTCTAGTGAAATATAAAATTTGTTACAATCAATAAATCTATTTATAAAATGAACATTTTCCACACATTTTCCCCACACACAAAGGTTTGGCTTGTGTGTATATGGAATTTATATTGCCATACACGGATCAGAAAATAGACCACGGCCAGGGTTGAACTTGGGGTTTCTCCCCACCCATTCGATTTCCTTTGATTGGGGCTCTTATATTGGATTAAACTCAACGCGTGCTTGATGGGTTTTTAAATGGAAAATGAGCCAGAACAGAGTTTACCATATAAGCCACTGGGCTTATTTGATTAATTGTAGCGGTAGAGGCGCGTAATTGATCGGAATTTAATTGAAATGCTTGTTCTCTTTCACTTGCAGGGACTTCTGGACAAATACCTTATTCCAAAAGCCAGCAATCCCGAGAGCAAGGTGTTCTACCTGAAGATGAAGGGTGATTATTACAGGTATTTAGCCGAGGTTGCCACAGGAGACGCACGCAACAGTAAGTATCTTGGAGAGGAGCACCCAATTACAAACACCCAAATCCCAATGATACACCCCAGATTTTATACGATAACAAACTCTTTTATAAACCAAACAAACAAATATTCTTGCAAACACAGCCGTTGTCGATGACTCGCAAACCGCTTACCAGGATGCATTTGACATTAGCAAGGGTAAAATGCAGCCAACACATCCCATCCGTTTGGGTCTGGCCCTTAACTTCTCAGTCTTCTACTATGAGATTTTGAACTCACCAGACAAAGCTTGCCAATTGGCTAAACAGGTTAATAGCACATATTCTGAGGACTTGGCTCGTCAAATCGAAATGTATGGCAAGCGAGCAAGGCACACAAAAATCTAATCACTCTTCATCGATATTTAAGAACTTTTCCGTTTCCCTCTTTTCTAAAAATGATTTTCCTAACATTTTGGTATTTGTTTCTTACTTTTTTACATAACTGAATCGTGTGTAAATCGTTAAGCCGTCGTTGAGGACTCGAAAAAAGCCTATCAGGAGGCGTTCGATATTGCAAAAACCAAAATGCAGCCCACACATCCAATCAGATTAGGTCTTGCACTCAACTTTTCCGTCTTCTATTACGAAATTATCAATTCACCAGCGAGGGCTTGTCACTTAGCTAAACAGGTTCAGTTCAACTTATACATGTCTCTTCTGTGTATACCCAATAACTCGCTTACGAATACTAATCATCCGATGAAAAGATACCAATTATTGTGTTGTTCTGTGACTAAACCGAGTAAGAAATCCAGCGACTAATGAACTAAATGAGCTTTAACTAAGTTTAACACCAGGGCGTTTCAAAAGTTAAAAAAGAGACTGAAGTTCAAGACAGTTGCTATCACATTTCCCTAATTAATGCCTATTAAAATGTTAAACTTTTGGACTGTTTAAACTTCCTACTTTTTCACATCAGTAACATGTTGAAAACTAACTTTAGCAACTATTTTTTTTAACGTACATACTTTTTGTACTCTACTGAAATTCCAAACTTTCTGAAACGCCATGTATACTCCCCATTTTTCCCCCAAACTGCATGAGAAATGCCAAAAACTTTGCCTGTGAAATAATACTTTACTTACGGCCTTTGCTGGTGAACACTTTTCGTTTTTTATTTCGTTAAGGTCAAAAAACATACACTTTTGTTACTTTTATTTTGATTTACACACTCTGCTTTCAAGTTTAGTTCGATGAAGTTGTTTTAGTGAAGCCAATTATGAATGTATGATGAACCTAACGCCACTTTGAAAATGCTTTTGTTCTACCAACTTGCATTCGCCTTGCCAAACATTTCCTTTGACACGAAACCTTTGAGAATAAGCACTAATATAAATCCCTTTTTAATTGGCAACCTAACCAGGCGTTCGATGATGCGATAGCCGAGCTGGACACACTCAACGAGGACTCCTACAAGGACTCGACACTCATCATGCAGCTGTTGAGGGACAACCTGACCCTCTGGACGTCCGACACCCAAGGCGACGGCGATGAGCCTCAGGAGGGCGGCGACAACTAACCAAACAACTAAGCAAATGTTTCCTTTTTGACTATGCAAATATTATTCAGTAATACAAACAAACAAAAACCAGAAACAACAAAGAGAAACAAATATTATAAAAACGCAAACAAAAACCAGCAAAGCAAAACAATTTGAAATGAAACGATAATCCAGGCGAGAGAGCAGCAGGCAGGCAGGCAGAAGGCAGAAAGCGCGAACATTTGAGACATTTACATACGAATTGAGGGCAGGATGCTTCACAGTTCATTTGGGGCCGATGGGCCGGCATTTGAGGCTGTTTCGCCCGATTTTCACGGGTACTTCTTAGCCCCCCTTGTATACATATAGTCAAAATGTATGGGAGGAGATGCCGGTCGATCTGACTCAAATGTAGCCACTGCAACTGCTTAAGAAACACAGAAAAATACAGCATCGCTGTGCGGGCCAAGTGAATGCGGAGTATTTCGGAGTTTGGATGGATATATTTCCGGTTTTTGAATCAAATTAATGTAGAAGATATTTCGCAACTGAGTGTTTTTCTCCCCCCCAAAATCGAAACGACCAAACTCTGGATGCTCCGAATTTGTTCGCCCTGGCGATGCCTCGTGTGGATTTCCTCCTTACAAAACAAACAAATAAATAATATTCCTAACTGTATACACAAGAAATGAAATGAGATAATCGGTTATTATACATGTTTTTTGCAAGAGTCTAAATTAATTATTTAATTTTCGTATGGCAACCAGAAACAAATGCAAAAGATACAGCCACAACAACAGCAAGAGCAACAGCAACCAAGCGAACCAAATGAGAAAAACAAAAATAAAAACAAAAACTTATGTATTATTTGTAATTCTTTTTCTAAACAAATAAAACCAAAAAAACCTAGTTTTCCCATTTTATGTTTTATTTGAATTCGAAATTGATTTGACTTTTCGTTTTTCAACCTCCCCCCACACACACAGAAACAGAAGCAAACACAGACACACACAGACAGGGCTGCATTTATAATGCACGTGCGGAAATCGGTTCAAATCCCATGAATCAGGAACCATATCTGTTAAAGGAACGTGGAGAGAACGGAAAAGTACAGAAAAAATATATAATTGTTCATTGCTATTTTTTATACATGTCTTACATAAAACAAAAGGGTTAAATCTACAATTGCAATTTCTTTGTTGTTTTTTCTTGGTATAAACAATTGTGAAAAGCATAACTCATATAATACATACATATAGCCAGCTGTCTGTCAAATGAATTATTCCAAATCGAAATGGAAGTCTAACCGATGGCGGAAGTCAAGTCATGTCTATTATTTTATGTGCAACATGGCGAAAGCACGAGTTTTATTGTGCGCAATGTCTGCACAATCTTCCAATTAATTTCGTTGGTTGGGCGCAACTATTCGAAGTTTGAAAGCCCAGAGAAAACGTTTCCCCAACTAAGAAACAGCCATCAATTGTTCCTAAAATCTGGCGTTTGTTTCTTAACGATTCATTTTATCGTTCGAAAAATGATTTCGACTTCTTCAATATATATGTATGACAATTGCAGCCTGCAAATCAGCAATGGATATATTAACAAAACAAAAAAATATTAAATGAAGATCGAATCAAAATACATAAATATTGTGAACTAAAACTATTCAAATTTTTAATTTAAATACAAGAAAAAACTTTGCATGTGTATTGAAAGAAAATATATTATTGTCCAACAAAAACGGTAACATACAGAACATATGTATGTATGATACAAGTAAATGTATATTTTCGCAATTGAATTTATCGCTATATTATGAATGTGAGGAATATAAATAAAAAACAAACAAAAAAATATATATTTAAATAAAAGAAACACTTTTGCCGCAACGCTAATAAGTCGAATCCCAGAACATATAAAATAATAATATTGTGAAACTGCAATACATTCATGAAACAGAGAAATTAACAAGCAGATGAAAAAAAATACCGGGTGTAGGCGTAAATTGTATGCATATAACAGAGGCAAAGATTGATGTATGAGTGGAATATTTAAGTTTATTGAAATTACAGTTTCTTAATTACCAACAAAAAAACCAAAAAATTAAATAAATAATACAAAAAAAAACCAATCGAACGTTTTTTTATGGGAGTTTATTTTTGAATCGAGGTTCCTTTATCGAAAATGTCAAAAATTAAAAAAAAAATTAAAGGCCAAAGATATATAGAAAATTTGCTAAGCTTATAAAAATGTTAAAAATTTAGGGGCAAAATTTAATTTGGCATGCATTCAATTAAATTTCGAGTATTAACTAAATTTAAATCATTGTAAGTTGGTATCTGGATACAAGATTTCTTCATATTCAAGTTTTTTATTTTTAAAGTTGTTTGGAAATTAATGGGGCAATACCAAAAGGGCGTATTTTTCATGGACCACAACCTATAACTTTTTTTCCACGGACCACCACCAAAAACCGTCTAGTCAGACAAAAGGTAAAAAACGGCAAGTTATTTATCCACCTTTTAAGGATTTCTTGCCCAATAGTTAACCATTCCAAGGATTGATCACCGCTGCACACAAAATCGTTCGGGCGATTTAACTTCTGAGTAATATGAGTAATATCTTCATCTTTAAGAACACATAAACTCTATTCTTTTTCAGCCATAAAAAAGTTGTTTTTTTAAAGAACAGAAAAAATGTTAAGCTGCTTTTTATAAAGTCGTACAGTGATTCCGGTGATCAAAAGGACGATGGCCCTGCTAAAGAGATTGACAAAGAATATAGATTTCCGAAACCATGTGGACGACATATTCCAGTTATTACCAATTTGCACAGTGGATTTCTAAATGCCAAAAACTATTCAGAAAAAATTGCTAGAAAGAAAAAGAAGGATGAACCCAAAAAGAAATGTAGCAAAAACCTTGATGAGCTGCGA